ATACCACACCACTTACACGTCATTTCACCATTCCTTGAGTCCTCTCCTCCATCTCCTCCACACCCTAGCTGCCAAAACATCCATCACTGGCTTCGCCACCGCTTCCTCGCCTGACCATCATCTCCACGGCCTAGCCCTCTGCCGTGGCGATGTCATGCGCCAAGACTGCAAAGCCTGCGTCGAGAATGCCACCATTGAAATCAGCCACCTCTGTCCTGGCAAAGAGGAAGCAATCGTTTGGTTCGACAATTGTCTCTTGCGTTATTCCGACAAGGATTTCATCGGCGAAGTAGATGAGAGCAACAAGTTTTACATGTGGAATATCTATAATATCTCTCAGCGGCAAGTGTTTAACAGGCACCTTGGAGAACTCATGTATGAGTTGTCCTCGAAAGCATCTTCCTCGCATTTCTTTTTTGCAACTGGAGAAGTTGAAGTGAGTGAGAAAAAGATAGAGGAAAAGATATATGGGCTGGTTCAGTGTAGCAGGGAATTAAGTGATGGGGAGTGTAAGGCGTGTTTGGATAATGTTATTAAGGATATCCCTACTTCTTGTTATGGAAAAAGAGGGGGAAGGGTTCGACTGGGAGTTGTAATGTTAGGTACGAGGTTTACCAATTCTATGGCACATATGAAATAAGTGCATTTCTCTCTCTACCCAGAAAATAAGTGAGCTGTGCACTGGTCTCTCTCTCTGGTTAAATAAGTGTCCCTGCGTGGATAAATAGTGTTCGTTTATGTTGTTATTATTGAAGTGGGACTTTCCTTATTATTAAATTATTGGTTTCATTTGCTCTTTTACTTTTCTCGGGTATAATATGAATAGGGGTCGGGTCAGGTTGGGTCGGGCCAGATCTGGACGCTGACCTGAAAAAATTTATGCGATCCAGACTCAAAAATATAATGTAGGACCCAGACCCAGAGCTGTACTTGGACATGTACCCGCTCAAACCAGATCCAAAAATCAAAATATCTATATATTTAAATATATTTGATAAATTTGTTGATATATACATGCATTATTTAAAAGAAAATTTTTCTACAGAGCCGACACTTTAAAAAAACAAATTAGAGCCCACCTCAAAAATTTCACTAGTTTGATACCCAAATATCTTCAAATTGATCATCTCGACAACAAGATGCATGAATATGAGAAAATAATGGATTTCAAGTTTTGGAAATAGTGCATTGTGTGACGCATATTTGGACCGTCAACTTCAAGTTTTGGAAATAGTGCATCGTGTGACGCATTTTTGGACCGTCAACTTCAAGTTTTGGAAATAGTGCATCGTGTGACGCATTTTTGGACCGTCAATTATCAAGATTGTCAAGTTTTTATAGATGTATTCGATCTACGCTATTTTTTAAGCTTTAAATTTTATAATTACAGAGGAAAATATATTTTAAGGCTATTGTAAAGATTTCTAGTATTAAAACCACATGTCTCGACACTCTTTGAAGGTGCACTTTACTTTGATTGTTTAGAGCCTTGGTTCTATACAACCCGCACCCTTATTTAAATATCATAACTAAAAATGAAAATTTTTATATAATGGTGAGGCCCTAAATGGGTTCAAGTGGGTATGGTTTATGGTTTGTTTTAGGCTAAGGTGTATAATTGGCTTGGGTTGGGTGAAGTAGGTTAAGGACTATGACTAGTATGGACAATAGTTAAGGTGGGGTATAAGGTAGGGAGTGTAATGAATTGGTAAGGTATGGTAAACGGACTAGGATCAAGTATGGTGTGTGGACTAGGATGGGTTAAGTGTGGTATAAGGAGTGTGGAGAATAAATGGTATATGGTGTGTGGACTAGGATGGGTTAAGTGTGGTATAAGGAGTGTGGAGAATAAATGGTATAGACTATGGGTGTTATGAACTATGGACTGTGTTTGGGTAGTATGGTTGGTCAAAGGTTTGGGTAGGGTGGTCCAAGGGTAGTCTCTCAAGTGCTAAATATTTCTCTCTCCTCAAAGCACTTTCTTAATAATTTTCCACCTTAGGTTACAAATAAATGATGATCAAAACAACACAAAATTTCTCAAAATTACATTTTTCTTTGATTAAAAATGATTTTCGTTTTTGGGGAAAACTGATCGTTTTCCTTCTCCTAACTTTCTTTGTAATGACAAAATCATCCCTAATAAAGGGCTGCTTGCCTTGCTTGTAGTTCGGGGCTCTTTCGTGCATTTTCTGACGAGCATTTGCACGATCAATCACCGGTAAAATGACTTTCATGTCGAGGGTATCATTTTGATGTCTATAATTGAGTTTTAAGTCACAGTTTTGAGGTTGTTCTCAAAATACGACCAACTCCTAAACTTGTAACTTTGAATATTCGATCTTAGCTCATTTATTCTTGTTTTCAGTTATTTTCTTTATCACAAATCGAATGGAAAGTTATCGAGATCATTTTGCAATAAAAATCCCCGGATTTGGATGTCAAATAATCACTTTCCAAATTGGAGAGGTGGCCAGAAAATGGGATTCCAGCCACCGAAAAATATGTTTTTTTTAGAGCTTTAATAGAGTACCTTATCAGTCTCCATTTCAATCGAATGGGTACTCAAAACAAAGGCCTCTGAGCGGCGATTGCAACCAACCTAGCCTTGAGGTTGTGGGAGTCCGAAATATTAAGATATAGGTGCTAGAGTGAGTAGGTATACTACTAAATTTTCTTGGTTTTTTAGCAACTTTCTCTCTAAAATTTCTCCCTTTTTCTGGGCTCTCATGATGCGTGTGATCTACTGAATCCTAGAACTCGGTGAGGTGAACAACATTCCCAAATTTGGGATCCATTTACTTTAAGATGAGGGAGATTCAAGCTTTCAATGTTTTACCGTTTTGCAAAAACACAGTTATTATAAATAGTAATTGGTTTAAGTGGATCAAGTGAATAGTAAAAACGTTTCTACTTTTTGGAAGTACGACTTAGTAAGATTGGATTGAGCTAAAATTCATAATGGCGACTGTTCTCAGTCTCTCAAATCTATTGGTGTTGGTCACATAGCCATTGGAAGTCTCTAGGGTAGAGTTTCAGCTATGGTGTACCGTATCATGCTTGAAATTTATCATTTTTAGCAGGTAAGACCTAGGGAGATTGGATTAGGCCGAAACTTGGTACAATAACTGTTTGCGACCTCTTGAATCCATTGGCGGTGGTCCCATAGTCTTTGGAGATCTCCAGGATAGAGTTCCAGCTATGATGCACCATACCTACTCGTTCCATTTACATCTGAATTGACCAAAATTTGGAGGGGATTCTTGAATCATTATGGGAGACTCATGTGCTTAATTTGTAGGTGAAATGGCATTGCTATTAAGGCTCTCAAGAATAAGGTTTATTTAGTCAGGGTTTCCATAGTCCTTACGTATTTTTGGTACCTACGGGCCTAGGTCGCCGCTGGGTTCTCCATTATTCACACCAGAGATACAAGCGTGTAAAACATATCCTGCAACACGAACAATACCTTCCCCGTTCTCTATCTTGAGCCATGGTGACTCTATGATTTTTTTTTGAGAAATTTACACATATATCTCATTTAAAAATGGGAAAATTAAAAATACCCCTTCAAATCAACTTTCTACACATCTTATCCCCAATACTTGTTGTATTATATCCTAAATCCCAACACTATTTTTCCTTGTATTTATTCCCAGTCAAATAGGCAATGCATTTTGGGACCAAATTTCCCTTTTTCTCTCCCTAACCATTTTCAATTTAATATTTTATATTTCTCTTTCTTCCCCTTTTTTCTCTCTTTTTCTATTTAGTCATGTGATACTTGCTTTCTCCTTTTCTCTCTCTACTTGCCCTCTCTTAATTTCTTGCTCTACCTCTCTCCACTTGTCCTCTCTGCTTCTCTCTCTTTCTTGCTTTATTTCTCTACTGTCCCTCACTCTTTCTCTCTAGCTCTCTCCACATGTCCTCGCCCTTTATCTCTTCTCATTTCTCTCTCCTTCTTTCTTTCTCTCTCTATCCTCCCTCATTCTCTCTCTACCCTCCCTCCCTCTCTCTTTCTATCTCTCTTTCTCTCCATTTTTTTATGTGGTCCGACACACTTTGACATACTTATTTTTTTTAATTGTTGTACGACACAAAAAGTGTCGGACTGCAACAACATTTCAGTCCGACAAGGAGTGTGCCTTCTTCCAATAAATTCTCCCCTTCTGGCCCACTTTTTGCCAGACCAAATTTTTTTTTTGCAGTTCGGCACAAAAAACTGCCGGACCGGCAAGAAGTGCATCGGACATCACAAAATTGTTTTTTGGTTTGGTGCCATCCTAAGTAACTTTATCTGCTCAAATATGTATATAGCCTTTTTTCCCTTTGCATTCATTACCTAGTAATAACTCCTCTGCAAACCCGCTTTCATAGCCATAGAATGTATCTCAACTCCCCAGTTGATGTATTTTAATGTAAAGCAAGCATTCAAAGAACATAGTACTGTGATCCGATTAGGCTTGACTCCCCCATACCTCCTCTCTAATTAGATGAAAAGCTTGGTTTTCTCTTTCATTCTGAGACAACCTTGAGATCATCGATGTCCAGGGGAGTATATCAGGTTTCATACCAGAAAACTACATTCTTTCTAAAAAATCAAGGGCTAAATCACAGTTTCCCAATTGATTATGATCTGGGATCATAAAGTTAAAGGTGACTATGCCTTTTTGTATTCCTTCAATTTGCATTTTTCAAAGAGATTGATGGCTTCTTCTGTATTACCATTTTTAAAAAACCCAGAGATCTCATTTATGGCAGAGAGAGAGAGTCCGCCAGAAAGAGAGAGTTCGCCTACAGAGAGAGAGTTTTTGGGTAAGTAGAGAGAGATAGAGAGAGTTTGGACGTGATAAATCTTTTTTTTGGGACAATTATAAAAAACCTCCCAATATACACTATCTATGCAACTTACCCCCAAAAGGAATAAGAAAAAAGACTAAACTACCTTGTTTTCACAGTGCTTCTCTCTCCTGTTTCCCATTTTTTAATTTACCCAATGCGCTCTGGCAGTACAAAGATGCACTTCGATAGTACAATTTCTAAAGACGATGCGCTCTTGCAGTCCCAAAGAATACTCCGGCAATATATGCTTTGGAGCAACAGTGCTTTGGTAGTGTAATGGGGCGCTCCGACAGTGTATTCAGTGCTCCGAAAGCATATGAATATGCACTGGCGGTACACCTTCTAGAGACATTTCACTCTGACAGTCTATAAAGGCACTACGACAATAGAGGCTCTGGAGCCACAACGCTCTGGCAGTGTAATAGCGCACTTCGGCAGTGTATTCAATGCTCCGACAGTATGAACGCGCTCCAACAGTGCGTACGGCGATCCGACAATCCTTACAAAGCGCTTCGGCGCTCAATACGTACGCGTTCTGGTAGTATGCTCTAGACAATTCTCTCCGGGAGTTGTATACTACGCTCTGGCAATATACTACTTAGGACCGATAGGCAGCACCAATTGATTTTTTTTGTATGGGGTGGGCATTTCCGTCCAAAAAATAATAACTTTTTACCTTGGGGGGTTTTTGTGAAGAAAGGTTGTTGGGGGGAAAAAAGTGAGAGAAAGTTTGGATGGGGGTAAGTTGCATAGATAGTGTATATTGGGGGGGTTTTTTATAATTTTCCCTTTTTGTTT